GGGGTAGAGGGATTGAGCCAAAAAGAGAAAAAACTCATGGACATGGACAACAATGTGGTGATTGCCAGGAGGAGGGATGAGGGGAGGTGGAGGAGAATATAGAGGGGATACATGGTGATGGATGGAGACTTGGCTTGGGTGGTGAACACACAATATACAGATGATGTGTTGTGGAATTGTGCACCTGAAACCTGTATAATTTTGTTAATCAGTGTCACAGCAATAAATTCAATAAAAAGGAAAAAATTAGTCATATAAAAAAATCAGAAAAAATTAAATTTTCTAGAATTTTATAAAAACGGATACAGTATGTATTCTGTTATCTTTATTTCCGTTATTCTGTTAACATTGAATTAAACTTGATCTTCTTTTTCTAGTTTCTCATTGACTTAATAACTTTTTCCTAATATAGCTATTTAGTGCTATAAGTTTCCCTCTAGGCACTGCATTAGCTATATTCCACAAATTTATATGTAACATGTTTTCACTTTCACCCAGTTAAAAAATGTCTAATTTTCAAATTTCTTTTGAGACTTACTCTTAAGCCATGGGATACTTAGAAATGTGTTATTTTCCAAATATTTTGAGAATATTCCATGTCTTTTACTGATTTTTTAAAACTTATTTTCTCAATTACAGTTTACATTCAATATTATTCTGTATTAGTTTCAGATATACCGCATACTGGTTAGAAAAGCATGTACTTTACAGAGTGGTCCCCCCTACATTTCCAGCACCCTCCTGGCCCCATACAGTTACCATATTATTGATTATATTCACTACGCTGTAATCTTCTTCTCTGTGACTTTCAATTTAACTCCATTGTAGTCCAAGAACATACTTTGTTTGACTTGAATAATTTAACTTTATTGAGACTTGTTATATGATCCAGATACGGCCTATCTTGGTAAATGTTCAATGTATATAGTAAGTAAAGAATATGTTTTCTGTTGTTCGGGTATTCTGTATAGATGTCAAACACATAAAATTTATTATTTGTTCAAACTTCTATATTCTACTTATTTTCTCTCTCAACCTATAAATTACTGAAGTGTTAACATGCTGTATGTTTTCCCTATCTTTTATATTTAACCTATTTGTTTTGATATTTAAAGTGGGATTCCTATAGGCAGCATATGGTTGGGTTCTTACTTTTTTTTTTTATTCTACCAATCTCACCCTTTAATTGGATTGCTGTGAGAACATTAACTTCAATAAGGTTATTGATATGGTTCTGTCTAAAACTACCATCTTGCTATTTTTATTTGTCCCAATTCTGTCTGTTATCCAATGTCTGGAAGCTATTGTTTTATATATATTGCCCATTTTTTGAGTTGTTAATGTGGGAGGGTAAATTCACCCTGTTACTTCATATTGCTGGAAATAGAAATCCTCCATGTTCTGTTTTTTATACTGATTTGTAATTTGTATCATGAATATTAGCCTTGTCTTTATATGTGTGCTACATATGTTCTTCCAGTTCATCACAGCCTTTAATTATATTTATGGTACATTTTTTCATAAAGACATTTAAAATTTTGATATTATATCATCCATTCTTTTCCTTTGGACTTTTATGTCATGCTTATAAATTCCTGACCTATATTTTCCTCTTAATCATCATGTTTTAAAAGAAGAAAAATAACTCCTCAGTATGAATGACTTTTATTTTTTACATCAAGTTTATTAATTATAAAAGTAATACATGCACATGGTAAAAACATCAAGTAGAACAGAGGGCTATAGATGAAAATGAAAGCTCATTTCCTCTTCTCCCATTGCCCTTGCTTGCAAAATTCCTCTTGCCAGAGGTAACTCCTGTTAGCAACTTCTTATATATATCCTTCCATATATACTCTGGACACATACATACACATGCATATTTATCCTTTAGTACACAAACGGTATTCACACACACAGTTCAGGGCTTTTTCATTTAACATTATATTTGAGTTCTTAATGTGACTGAGTTTTATCAGATATTTAGCAGACTGACAGAGGGACCAGGGTAGTCAGAGAACATGGTGTGGGAAGTACACAGGAAAAGGCATATTCATCTCTGTAAGGCCAACACTTAGCACAAAACCTGGCACATAATAAAGTGCAATGATAAGTGTTAAATAACTAAAGGGAAAGAACAACTTGAGAAAACTGGAAACGAACTACCATTTTGACCACTCTTCTCATGCCAGACCTGGTCTTAAGAATTACCATCTCCCAGTGCAGGAGGGAACAACACACAATGATAAAGACATGGAGCAGCTGGACCTTTCACTTGCAATAACTTCCGACGGGGTGTCTTCTCCAACTAGAATCATCACTTTTAACACATACATTTAGTTCAAATGCAGATTACACTGACTACGCAGCAAAAATCTGGGAACTCAAAGACTAAAAGCTGAGTTATATTACAGGTACACACTTATACAAACAGCTACCATTAATTGGTGCCTACTATGAGGTAGGCATCATGTTGGGAATAGTGGCACTGCAAGATTAATGTTAATCTATGCCCATTTTATAGAGGAGAAAATGGAGGCTCCAAGAATCTGAGTGACTTATTCAGGGTCACACAGCTAGTCAAGGAGCTTCTAGGGACAACTCCACCTTAATCAGATAAGCTACTTTTCTGTCAATCCCACACCACATTCTCTCCTATTTCAATGGCTTTGTGCTATTTCCTTTGCCTGGCATTTCCTTTTTCCACTTCTCTTACCTGGTGGTTTGTGGAAGCTAGGCAGAAATAGAAACATGGGATTGTGCAGGATCTGTGCTACACTAAATGGGCTCATTCACATGTTGTTTTTCATTATTTCCCTGCCTGAATTGGGTATTGGGAAACCTGGCTGGATTCCAGTCCCAACTCTCCTAATGAGCTGTGTGACCTAAAGATAGACAGAACCTCATCTTCCAACCTCCCAAGGCTTTTGTGAAAACAAAGTAAACATTATAACACAATATATGAATGCAAGGTATTACTTCTGAAGACATATGAACTAAGGCGCTTCTGCCTTTTATACCCTACTTAATGGGTGATTATATGTAAGAAATAGAAATCACTGCTGCTTATTTCACATTAGTATCTTCAGCAAAGGTTAACAGGTTTAGAACAATAGTGTACAACTGTTCAAAATGGTGACAGATGGAGGGGGTCTGTATGCATCTGATTTGAGGGCTCTCCTTGGAAACTACCAGGTAATTCCAGGCTTGCTCACTTTTAAAGCTTCCATCTTTTTGAATGTTTCTTCATGTAAATGATCCGTGTCAATGCTATGAAAAATGAAAAGAATCTTGTATCAAGTCAAGCCAATGGATGCCTTCAGCAGCTTTCCTATTCTCAAGGATAAGATTCCCATTCACACTTTCTCCCTGGCACCACTAAGTTACTTCATCCACTTGGCTATCAACCTCCTTTCTTTCTCAGCCTCAGCTCCTTCCTTGGGTTTCAAAAGAAAATTATTAACTTCCTTTTGAACTCTCACTCCTGTCCAAGGCCCTGCTCCATTATTCCACTAGTTCCTCCTCCTTTATCTGTAACCTCTCCTTTCTCTCAGCCTACAAATTTGCCTATCCTAAAACAAGTCAAGAAAGAAAAATAATAACTCCCTTCTCCCTAGTCTGCTAACTTCCCCCCAGCTACGACCCCACATCTCTTCTCCTTTTCACAAACTTTTTGAAAAAGTAGTCTTATCTCCCATCTCTTCAAGTCACTGCAACCTGGTTTCCAGCCCCATTATACCACTAAAACAGCCCATGATACTGGCACCTATGGCTTCCTAATTGCTAAATCTAATGGACACTTTTCAGTACTCATCCATTTGGACCTCTCTGCTGCCTTTGATACTGTTAAGCACTTTTTCCTTGAAACTCATTCTTCCCATAGTTTCCAGGACACCTTTCTCTCCTGGTTTTCTCCACGGGTTTTCCTTCCTATGTCCATCTCTTAGAAGATATTGCTGAGGGCTAATTCCCCAGAGATGTCCCTCAGAGGTTCTCTTCTCACTCTCTCTAAGGATCTCATCCATTGTCATGGCTTCAGTTATCTCCAGGGCACACTCCAACATCCAACTGTCTACCTACTAGAAAATTTTCCCCAGTGTCCTACAGGCACTTCAAGCTCCACATGTGTCTCTGATTAAAACTCAATGACTACAAAAGAAGGTACAAGCTCTTTCAGGTGTATGATGAGGTACAGTTTTTAGTTTTTAATGGATAGAAGCTAATCTTTATCTAGCAAAGTGAAATGAGTAGCCCTGCTAGTTTTACAATTGTAGAGTAAGTAGACATTTAATGCCATGGAAGTGTAACAAGACCTTTAGAATTTTTTCAGTGACTTAGCAAAAGCTGCCTTGCCTCCTGATTTGTAGAACTCTCTGCTGGGGAAGAGGTGGGGCAATATGCTTATGAAGCCCATAGGTCTTCTGGGAGTTAAGAGACCAGTTACTTCCAACCTTTTCTTCCCAAATTTAGAATTAGGAACATGGATCAGGGTGAGCTAGGGAGATTTATCCTGGGTGCCTGGGAAAGGCACCAAGGCCCCTAAAATAAAATTATCTTGAAGAAAGAAGACTTAAGTGGGGTCCCTGACTCACCTCAGGGGCCTACATCTTTGTGGGCAAGGTCATGTTTCACACATATATACCTGTGGCTGATTCAAGAAGCTCCTCTAGACCTAGCCACCCTGAAACATGTAGTACTTTAGAGAAAGATGGCTGCATATCTGGGTGTGGACAAAGATATCTATAACCTCAGAGCCCAAGTATAATGGCACTGCAAGCCTCACAGGGATTCAGAGCAGCCAAGACACCACCATCCAATCACCAAGCTTCCGTGGGACCAGGTAAGGTCAGTTCCCAAAATCAGCCACCTACAGCAGTGAGAAACAGGAGCAGGAGTGGACTGATTCTTCAACCAGCTTCGGAAGCAAAGTGTCTCCATCCTTGGGACGAGTTTTGAAAAGGTGAGTAAAGGCCCCCAAATGTACTGCTTCCAGAATATGTGTGAGAGAATTATGAATAAATTTGCACTCAGAATTCTGCTAATAGGTCTTATTAATCACACATGGCACAGAAGGCCTTGCCCCTCAGTCTCTTGTCTTGACACATTCTTCTGTGCACTTTATGCTCCAACCATAGCAAACTTCCTGGAGATTTCCTACCCCTATCCCCATCAAGTACCATAAACCATGCTGCTTATTGTCTCGTTACCCTTGCTCATGCTATCTCCTGAGCCTGCACTCCCCTTCTGTACCCTTATCCCCATGTCCCCTGGTTATAGTCCTGAGACTTAACTCAGGTGGCCTTTCCTCTAAGAAGCTTTCTCTGACCCTCTTGGGATCAGTGAGCTGTCTTTAGCCATTAATCCCACTTTCTGATTACCCAATTGCATTTATCAGTTTGTGTGTCTGTCTCTACCACTAAGCTCACTAGCTTCTGAGAAGCACAGATCATGTCTCATGTCTTATTATTCTTATCTACCCACACTTGGACTATCTGCCTAGCACACAGCAGATGTCCAGCAAGTGCTTGTGGAATAAATGAAGGTGAGCTTTGTCACTGTGAGACACAGCCTTTTTTTCCCCTTGACTATCTTCATCGAACATATTACTGTATCTTTGCCTTGCTCCTGGATGCTTTAAATTACTACTGGTATCCTACATGCATTTACTATATGCAAAGCACTGAGCCAGATTTACAGGGGAAAGTACAATAAGAAATAAAATTCAGACTTCGTACTCAAGCAGCTCTTAGAATATCACCTTCTTCTCCAGTCTTTCCAATTTCAAAGAAGACTCCCTCTTTTAGGATGCTCTCTTTAGATTTACCCCTTCTCTAGCCCACCACCACATTAAATGGTCCAGTTTCCTCTCACCTTACTTAGGTAAGTATATATTTCTTCTATTGATTTCAGTGTTGTCTGTCTTATACTCATTTTAACATTCAAAATTTATTTGAGGTCAGTAACTGGTATCTATTCTCTATGTGTGCATGTCCTTTATTTTGATTTCTGAGCTATTACTGCACACTGCTATCAACTTATTGATTGACAAGTTACAAGGTTTAAAGATTGGACTGAAAACACAATGGAAGCACATTGGTTAAAAGACAAAGAAAGAGTGAGAGAAACAGAAAATAGAACAACAATTTACAACAAAAAACAAATAATGGCATGTCATCACAAAATAATTTCTCCTTTCTGTGACTGAGAATCTTTGCTAAAGCATACACACTATAGAGTGTTACCACATTAAATTACTCTATATATAAAGACATTAGGATTGATCATTGAGGTTATCTAAACCCGTTGACAATAGAATCCAGTAACCTCTTTATAAGAAGGAAACCCTGGAGGTCCCTAAATCCCTGAGACTCATCATGTTGTGAATAATTTCCTCTTCCTGGGCAGTAATCATCAAACTCTTGAGCCTTTGAAACTAACAGACTTTACTTTGCTAGTAGAGAACCAGCTTCTGTTTCAGCCAGACTTGTAATCAGGCTTTTAAGCTGTTTTCATTTACACTTCAATTCATAAAATTGGCTTTGGAATGTGGAATTTTTACACTTAGCCTTTATTTTCCATTACATGTTCCGGTTCTGAATGCCATAAATGAATGGTCATTTGGCCACCAGTTCGTTGCGAACAGAGCATAGCTGTATCCCAATTAAGAGTTACTTTGTGCATTATGCCAATTTACAGAGATGGCAGACAGACATAGACCAGAAAGGAGAAAAACCTTCACTTTCTTTAATTGCATCATTATAGCTTCATCCCCTTGAGTCTTGAAGACTCTCAAAATGTAAACATTAAGTCTTCTATCAGGCATTAAGAGAGGAAAGGGAAAGGGTCTAACATTTTTGGGGTACCTTCTATGCACCAAGGGTTGTACTAGGTTCATTCATAATTGACATCTTTCTTCACTCAATCCCCATGCTAGCACCAGGGAGTCAGGTACTCGTATTAGCTCCATTTTACAGAAAAGGATACTAAAGTTCAAAGAGGTTAAATAAGCATGGTCATGCCATTAGTAGATGCTAGACCTAGTATTTAAGCCAGACCTAGCTGAATCTAGATCCAGTGCTTTTGCCTACACCCTGTTGCTTCTCTTAGCAGCGAGATCTAGCGCTGCCTGTTCATTGCATCTCTCCCTGCCCCTGTGTCCAAGGAAGAAGCCTATAAGTAATTTCACTTACTTTGATATTTTGCCTAGGAATGGCCTGCCATCACTACAATAGGTTATGATCAAACCCAACATGCCTGTCCTGACCCCGTCCTTTCCACTCCCCTCACCACAGTAACTTACTAGAATGTCTGTAGTTTATATATTGGATGAATCAGTGCATCACACAGCATTTGCACTCCAAAATCCTTGAGGTCATTTCCACTTAAGTCTATCAATGTTAGGTTCTCATTTCTGTTCAGAACAGAGGCAAAGGTTCCACAGCACCCATCTGTGAGATGACATTTTGCTAACCTGTAGGGGATTAGGGATTCAAGAAAGAAATCAGTCTTATCTCAAGTTCCACAATGACCCTCCATTTCTGACCCTCCATTTCACATACAGCCTGGCAATAAGAGCTCAGTGGGCAAAGAGTCCTTGTGTACTTACCATAAGGTCTTTAGTTTGCAGGGTATTTCAACCCTTCACATAGCAGCTTCATGCCCTTGTCCCCTAGGGCATTGTCATTGAAGTCAAGATATCTCAGGTGTTCATTGGTGTAGAGTGCATTACACAAATCCTGACAACACTCTCTAGTCAGGTGACAGGTCCACAATCTGCTAAGAAGTAAGGTAGAGAAGTCTGGCATAATTTCATTTGCACTGAGTTACTTTAGGAATTATGTTTGCCCATTAAAAAAAACACATCAGAAAATCAGAGCCCGGCCAGGCGTGGCTCAGGGGTTGAGCATCAACCTAGGATCCAGGAGATCATGGTTTGATTCCCAGTCAGGGTACATGTCCAGGTTGCGGGCTCGATCCCCAATCGGGGGCATGCAGGAGGCAGCCAATCAATGATGACTCTCTCATCACTGATGTTTCAACTCTCTNAGATGCTAGACCTAGTATTTAAGCCAGACCTAGCTGAATCTAGATCCAGTGCTTTTGCCTACACCCTGTTGCTTCTCTTAGCAGCGAGATCTAGCGCTGCCTGTTCATTGCATCTCTCCCTGCCCCTGTGTCCAAGGAAGAAGCCTATAAGTAATTTCACTTACTTTGATATTTTGCCTAGGAATGGCCTGCCATCACTACAATAGGTTATGATCAAACCCAACATGCCTGTCCTGACCCCGTCCTTTCCACTCCCCTCACCACAGTAACTTACTAGAATGTCTGTAGTTTATATATTGGATGAATCAGTGCATCACACAGCATTTGCACTCCAAAATCCTTGAGGTCATTTCCACTTAAGTCTATCAATGTTAGGTTCTCATTTCTGTTCAGAACAGAGGCAAAGGTTCCACAGCACCCATCTGTGAGATGACATTTTGCTAACCTGTAGGGGATTAGGGATTCAAGAAAGAAATCAGTCTTATCTCAAGTTCCACAATGACCCTCCATTTCTGACCCTCCATTTCACATACAGCCTGGCAATAAGAGCTCAGTGGGCAAAGAGTCCTTGTGTACTTACCATAAGGTCTTTAGTTTGCAGGGTATTTCAACCCTTCACATAGCAGCTTCATGCCCTTGTCCCCTAGGGCATTGTCATTGAAGTCAAGATATCTCAGGTGTTCATTGGTGTAGAGTGCATTACACAAATCCTGACAACACTCTCTAGTCAGGTGACAGGTCCACAATCTGCTAAGAAGTAAGGTAGAGAAGTCTGGCATAATTTCATTTGCACTGAGTTACTTTAGGAATTATGTTTGCCCATTAAAAAAAACACATCAGAAAATCAGAGCCCGGCCAGGCGTGGCTCAGGGGTTGAGCATCAACCTAGGATCCAGGAGATCATGGTTTGATTCCCAGTCAGGGTACATGTCCAGGTTGCGGGCTCGATCCCCAATCGGGGGCATGCAGGAGGCAGCCAATCAATGATGACTCTCTCATCACTGATGTTTCAACTCTCTCTCTCCTCCTCCCTTCCTCTCTCTGAAATCAATAAAGATATATTTTGAAAGAAAGAAAGAGAGAGAGAGAGAGAGAGAAAGAGAGAGAGAGAGAAAATCATTATGAAAAAAAAAAAATCCCTTGGACCAGGGCCATGCAAAGATTGCGGAGAAGGGAAGATTTATTTCCCCCATATTATTTAGGTCTTCATTTATTGTTTCTTTGGAGATTCAATCACCAGGCCAAAAAATGCCCATTTAATTTTCGAAGTTGCTGAAATATCAGGAAACTCTGCCTGTGGTTATAGTCCAAGACACTTAAAACAGATCCTTTAATGGACAGTCAGGCTGTTTTAATCCGTCACACTTCAGTCTCAAATCTTCAACTTTGTTATTAATTAGAAGTAGTCTTGTCAGGCTCCAAGTAGAGTTCAGGACTTGGGTGAGGGTCTCACAATAAGCTACAGAGAGGGAACATTCGGAAAGCCTGAAGGGATGGGGACACCAAGGTAACTGTTAACCATGGCAGCAGGGAGTCCCAATGAACCTCAAATGCTGAAATCCCATGAGAAGGACAAGAACAAGCAGACACTTACGTAAGATTCTTGACTTTACCCTTCCCATGCTGTAGACCCTCAGAGAGATGCTGTACTCCCGTGTCCCGCAAGGCACTGGTAACCACAAATAGCTCTTAAAATCCGACTCACTTGCAAGATAGAGGAGAGTTCCACACAGCTAGCATCTGTGAGATAACATGTGCTCAATCTACCCAGAGAAAAAGAAGAAAAATTAGGCACTGCTGTCATTTAGCTTTCAGGAAATGTTCTCCGACCCTCCCCATTTAGCTAAATCTTAGCCATCTTTTAAGTTCCAGCTCCCGGCCCACCTCCTTCACAGAGTCTCCTCCTGAGGCCTCCAGCCCATAGTGACCTCCTCACTTACCCTGGGCTTATCTGGCATTTCTAAATGATTCCACAGTGTTGGGCACTTGACTACACATTGAAATGTATTGCTCTCCAACTGTTTCACATCTGTGCGTCCTTAAGGGTAGCCTTGTCACTGGTGGTCCTTCTGGTAAGTTGACATCTAGTCCAGTGCTAGGTGCATAGTAGGTATTCTTTATAAAGTTAATATTTAATTAGTGTCATTCTTGTAAATACATAAGATGGTAGTATACTGGAAAGAAAATGAAATTTGGAGACAGATTTTGGAGTCATATCCTGGCTATACCACTTTTTAGTGGTGTGACCTTAAACAAATCATTTTTCCACCTGTACCTCAGTTTCCTCATCTGTACAATGGGGCTAAGAAAACCCATCTTATGTGAATATTGCAAGGGGTGAATTAGATGAAGTAATTTCTGGCAACCACCAAGCATAGACACCGGCACAGAACAGGTGTTCAACAAACTCAAGAGTCATAAGATAATAATGCCAAATAGTTTTATAAAAACTTACTCTAGTTTCTCCACTTTACAGTTGGAATGTGTGAGACCCTCACAAAGACACTTCACCCCTATGTCCCCAAGGGTATTTTCACTTAGGTCCAGCTCAGTGAGGTTTGGATTGCAAATGAGAACAGAGGCAAGATACTTGCAAACAGCCTCTGAGCTTTCAGGGAGAAAGCTAGCACACAACCTGGAAAGGAAGATGAACAGAGACAGAATTGGCCACTTTATTGTCCTACGCATCTCCTACCAACAATCTCTCTTGAGCAGAGAAAATAAAGGCCCACAAGTAAAAGTCCCCCAGCCTTGAGTATGTCACAGCCCCTTTTCCCTCATGGAAGGGACTTGTACATTGCTCCCACAACCCAGTGTTCCCCCGTGGGAACTCAGTAAATGTTGCCCCCCAAAGGAAAACGGATGGGAGGAAATATCAAGACCTAATATAATTTTCATTCTCTGCATGAGTTTAGCACTCTATCTCATATATTCTTTCAAATGTGAAGGGGAAAATGTTATAATTATCCTTAATAAATTTTATAGTCAAAAGATCTGTCCTTTCCTATTATCTAAAAATGCATTATTCATTAATCTGCTATCCTTAGAGAAACCCAGCCTATCACCATCATCAATATTCCTTCTCTGGCACAAAAAGTGGTTTTTACTGACCTTCCTGTCTTCTTAATCTTTGTTGCTCCATATTAAGTAGTCTAATTCTTTAGACCGTTTCCCATCAACTTTTTCCTCCATCACTTTCAAGAATTTCTATGATATACACCACAACATTTGAGCCTTCAATTTTCTTTTGAGTTTCCACGTTCCAAATTCTGTCTTGGAAAGGTCTTATAAGGACATTTATCTATAGCTTCCCAATTTAAAAATTTTAAATAGAAGCATTTTGAAAAAAAAAAAAGTTTCAAAGTAGATTTTAGAAGGCTTTAATTCTAAAGAGCTTTTCTTTTAGAAAACCCCACGTATATATATTGTAACGGTTAATTTTATGTGTCAAGTTCGCTAGATCATGCTACACAGATTATTTGGTCAAACATTATTCTATATGTTTCTGTGAAGGTACTTTTTAGATAAGATTAACATTTAAATCAATAGACTGTGAGTAAAGTAAATTATCCTCTATAATGTGGGTGGGCTCATCCATTCAGTTGAGTGCTTTAATAGAAAAAGACTGACCTCCCTGGAAGAAGGAATTCTACTAGTAGACTGCCTTTGGACTTGAACTTCAATATCAGCTCTTCCCTGTGTCTCCAGACTGCTGGCCTACCATGCAGATATTGAACTTGACAACCACCATAATCCACATGAGCCAACTCCTTAAAATAAGTATCTCTCTATATTTATATACATCTTATTGATCCTTTTTCTCTGGAGAACCATGATTAACACACATATGATAAACTTTTTCTTAAGATCATTACCATGGACTTTGAAGTCAGACATATTTGAGTTTTGAATTGTGCCTTTGTCATGTTATTCAGTCCTTTGACCTTGGGCTTCTGTTTCCTCATCTGCTAAAATGGGGATAATAATCTGAACCTCTCAGAGCTATTGTTCGAATGAAAGGAAATCAGGCATTCAACACTTAGCACAAAGCAATTACTAAATAAGTGGTTATTATTGTCATTGATGTTATTACTACTTATAGTGAAAATTCTCTTCCTTAACTTCTTTCATGGGAACAACTTTAGATACTGCCACTTCTATCCTTCCTCTTTATGATTCCTTGGAAGGTTTTGATCACACAACATCCATCTTGAATTGCATATTTTAAAATTTTTTTCTTGCAATATGGAAATTAATAGTTACTACTTACTTGAGCATCTGTAATTTGCAATTTGGATCTTCTAAGCCTTCACAGAGCAATTTCAAAGCTGAAGCATCCAGTTTTGTTTCACTAAAATCCTGGTCAGTGAATGAGTGACTGGTGCTGAGAATAGCTGGTAGCAGCCCACAGGAAGCAGGAGAAATCAGGCATCAGTAAAACCTTCAGAGAACAGAAGAATGACCTCATTACCTCATTCATGCTCTCCCTTGACACAAACAGAAATTGACAAAAATTATATGAACACAGATAACAAATTTTCCTGCTACCAGTTACCTGAATGTCTGTAAGATACAGTTTGTCTGTGTTAATCTTTCACAAAGAAGTTTCATTCCTGAATCTTCCAGGGTATTTTTTACAAATCCCATATCTGTCAGATACTGGTTGGTTTCAAATACTAAGAAGAGGTTTCTACCACAAGAAGCTGTGAGGTGGCAGTAAATCAGTCTGTGTGGAGAAAGACATTTCAGAGAAGAAAGAAAATAGGATTCTCTTTAAAGGTACCTATTTGTACCTTATTGATGTAATGAATTATTTCAATTCATTCAACAACTAATTTATTGGGTGCTTACCACTGTTTGAGATGCTGAAAACACAAATAATTATGCCCCAGACCCTGCACTCAAGAAATGCACAGTTAATGAGGGAAAAATAGAAAATCATGAATTATAATACAATATGAAAAATACTGCAAGTGGTATGGACAAAATACCATGAAGACACAGAAAGGTGGCACAATTCTACCTTGCTTTGGGTAGGGTTTGGAGGATCAAGAAATACTTATAAGAGGAAGAAATAATTGAGTGCTGTTGTGAAAGGGAATAGAAATTAAATACGAGTTAGGTGGATGAGAAGAATGGGAGTGGGGAGAGGGGCTGAGGGACAATCCACTCATGGAGCAGCCGTTGCAAAGGCCAAGAGGTAAGAGAGAGGATGCTTCATTTGAGAAACTTCCAATTATCTGCTATGGCCTATTTTAAAAGACTGGAAGGATGTATATCAAACTATTAACAGTGGTTATCTTCCAGATTGGGGGAAGGGTGGCGTTATAGGGAGACATTTACTTTCTAGGTAAGTAAAAATTATTTATATATACAATTATTATATACTTAAAATTATAAGAAGTTATAAGAAAAAATAGCCTTTTTAATTTGAAGAAAAATGTAATACATCCTTATTAATAAATAATTTTTACAATAGAGAAAAATATAAAGAATGTTTTTTAAAAAATGTACTATATCCCTGCCCTAGCAGGTGGTTAGAGCATCCACCCACTGACTGAAGGGTCCCAGGTTTGATTCCAGCCAAGGGAACAAACCTCGGTCACAGGCTCAATCCCCAGCCTGGGGTTGGGGTGTGTGTGGGAGGCAACCAATGGATGTGTCTCTTTCACATCTATGTTTTTCTCTCTCTCCCTCTCTCTCTGGAAAGCAATGGAAGAAATATCCTTGGGTGAGGATTTAAAAAAAAAAAAAAAAGTACTATATTCTTACCTCCCAGAGACAACCAATGTTAAGAGTCTGGTGTATACTCTTCCACTCTTTTTCTAAGACACTTGTGCAAAGACACACACACACAGATTTGTTTGTACGTTTTACAAAAATGGAGTTATACAAACATTACATCAACTTTACATGCACTTTGCCATTCAGTCCTTATTGTAAGCCCATAGACAGAAACTGAGATTCTGTTATTGCACAAGGTTATATATAGTAAGTGGCAAAGTAGGGCTCAACCTGGGGTAGGTCTGGTTTATCCCATAAGCTTCAGAAAGCCACTGGAGGTTTAAAGAGACAATGACCATCCCTCTGATGACAACGGAGGACAGGAGACAGACCTGATATCAAATGGTTGTGGGGAGAAACGGCAGGCAGTACGAGCGGGGGCGTGGAGGGAGGCAGGTTCGATATAGTCTCAAGTGTACGTGGAGCCAGGATTTATGACTATTCAGTTGAGCAGACTGTTCAGTCTTGGGTCGGAGGGTATGTGTGTGTGTGGGGGGGGGGTCAGGCTGTTCCCGGGCCCCACGTTCTTCCTTCAGTGGAACCTGAGGCAGCTGAAATGTAGGGGCTCTTTCCAGTTCTAGAACATTCCATCTCCAGGAAGAGAGCGCCCCCCGTGGCACGGGACAAACCATTGTGGTGGTGAGAGGGGGTGAAATTTTTTTTTTTTGTAATTGATTATGAGCACTTCGCATTCTTGGATCTAAGTCTTTTCTGACCACTCCTGTTTTTTCCACCTTCAACAGCTCTCAACACTGTAGCGGGTCCCCCGATGTCCCGGGGGTGAGTGGGAAGGACCTTCCTGGCTCATCCACTCCCACCCTTGCTGTCTCTGGAAGTTGGAACAGTCCTGGGGTATAAGGTTCCAGGGTGGCGCTCAGGCTTCCTTTCCCTGGCGCCATTGAAAAGAGAGGTACCTCTTCTCTTTGGGTTTTGGTGTGGTAGGCAGGAGTGGTGGGGGGCATGGTCAGCGGGCGTGTCCAGCGGGCGTGTCCAGCGGGCATGGTCAGCACACATGTCCTCCGGAGCCCATCTGGAGAGGCGAAGCCTGGTGGGAGGTATCCTGTGGGGCGGGGAGAAGGTCTGAGGAGGGTGAGGAGGGCAAGCGGATGGGAGGAGCCTGGGGGGAGGGGCTGAAGGAAAGCCGAGGCCCTCACGGTCCCTAAGGGACTGACAACTAGTTGATTCATCCCTGCAGAGCCACCCCGCCCCTAAGGCCCTCCGCCATCATGGCCTTGAGACCCGACGACCCCTCTGGTGGGTTCCGGCATAGCAATGTGGTGGCCTTCATCAACGAGAAAATGGCCAGACACACAAAAGGCCCTGAGTTCTACTTGGAGAATATGTCCCGTTCCTGGGTGGAGGTAGAAGACAAACTCAGGGCCATCCTGGAGAGCAGCGCAATGACCAGCGAGGCCAAAGAGGCCTGCGCCTGGGGTAGCCTGGCCCTGGGCATGCGCTCTGCCCACAGGCAGGGCCACTTACACGCTTGCAGGGTGCAGTGGCTGCAAGACTTCACCAAACTGCACAAATCGGCCTCCCAGGCCTTGGCCTGCAACATGAGGGAACTCACTGCGCAGCACGAGATGGAGCGCAAGGAGGCAGCCTGCCGGCTGCAGCTGACCCTGGACAAACTGGCTGAGGTTCAGAAAGAGAAGGAACTGCTGAGATGGAAGCTTCTCCGAGCGGTAAGATTACCCCATTTGGTACTGCCCCGTCTTCCCTCCCTGTCCCTCCCCGCGCCACCCCCCAGAACGTGTCTTAACCCTGCCCGCTTCTCTACAGGAGATGGCATCTTCCTGGGAATGGCAGCAGGTTACAGAGGAGCCAGGCCTGGCTACTACCAGTGTATTTGAGACAAAAGGAGCAGGTGAGGAGAAAGATAAGGTGGGGGCTGCCGGTACTACTACTGCTACTGGTACTGTAGGAGGAAGAGAAAGAAGGATGGAGGGNATCGGCCTCCCAGGCCTTGGCCTGCAACATGAGGGAACTCACTGCGCAGCACGAGATGGAGCGCAAGGAGGCAGCCTGCCGGCTGCAGCTGACCCTGGACAAACTGGCTGAGGTTCAGAAAGAGAAGGAACTGCTGAGATGGAAGCTTCTCCGAGCGGTAAGATTACCCCATTTGGTACTGCCCCGTCTTCCCTCCCTGTCCCTCCCCGCGCCACCCCCCAGAACGTGTCTTAACCCTGCCCGCTTCTCTACAGGAGATGGCATCTTCCTGGGAATGGCAGCAGGTTACAGAGGAGCCAGGCCTGGCTACTACCAGTGTATTTGAGACAAAAGGAGCAGGTGAGGAGAAAGATAAGGTGGGGGCTGCCGGTACTACTACTGCTACTGGTACTGTAGGAGGAAGAGAAAGAAGGATGGAGGGAGTGTAAGGGGTGGAGGCCTCCTGTAGCTTCACGGAGCTGTGGAGCAGAAAATGCATACCTATAGCAAGCAGAGGCAGGGGGATCTCAGATCAGTGGAAACAGCCATGCTTAATTTTTCTGGGACTCTCAAGCCTAGGTCCACCGTCTCACAAGCAACCCTTCTCGTCCAGCTTCCTGTCTCATTCACATACCCATTCTAATGCCCCTTATTCCCTTCCCAGAAGCACCCACACCATCCCCATCAGGGGCAGCCTTCACAGCAGGAGCTCCATCTCAGACTGCCTACTGGGGGCCCTCTGCTGTGGAGACCCAGGGAACAGATCCTCAAGAACCTCAAAGAGAAAAGAGTGCCTTTGAGCCCCAACAGCTGAGAAGACCTCCATCATCTGGCAGGCCCGAGGATTGGAACTGCCTTTGGTGTGATCCTGTGAATTTTCCAGGGAGGGAAATTTGCTACCACTGTGGGAGGGGCATCTGGTTACAGAACCCTTAAATTCAGAAATGTGAAATACAACAGAAACATATCCCAAAGGGGTATCAATTTTCAGAGGGGGGCAGGTGGGGGGAAGGGGATGAGTTAGGAGAGTGGGACTAGTGGAGTTGGAGGGAGGCATGGTGGGAGGTGGGAGAGACATGTTTTGACGATCCTCTTTTGAGTTCCAGAGCATAAGTATTCAACACATCTCCCCTGTTATGACAACCAGAAATGTTTTGAAATATCGCCACATATCCACTAAGGAGTAAAATCGTCCCTCACTGGCAACCATGGAGGCAATGAAGTACTTAGGAGAAGTCAGAACAAGGTAAAGAGAGTTGCCAGGGTAGCATTCTCAGCAGTGCCAAGGGCTTCAAGGGGCCCCTAAGACAGGAGGTGAAAAGTGTTCATTGGGTCTGGTATTCACTTTCGATCTTTGAGCAAATCTGGGTAGGGGAGGGGCAAAAGCTAACCTGACAGTACTGAGGAGAGAATAAGGAAGTGCAGTCAGTGAAGGGGGCTCTTCAAGGGCTCCTGGCTGTGAAGGGAAGGAGTGAGGTGAGATACATAGCTGAGAGAGGGTTCTTTTGAATATGGGAAAAACAGGAGCCATGGGAAAGGAGGCAGCTAAAGAAAGCTTGAAAACACAAGGAATATGTAAAAGAATGGAGCACATCCTGCATACAGTATTGGAGGCATATTTATTCTACTGCTCAAAAATATATGAAAGGCTAATTTTGTTTTTTTTGTGAAACAAAATCCCCGAAAGTATTGTGTGTATATGTATGCTGATAGATTTTTTTTGTGTGCCTTATGTTATAGATTTATGTTTGAATAAGCAAAGAAAAAGGTCTGGAAAGACATTTAGCAAACAACGTTATTACCTAGGAAGGTTGGGATCAGGGTCAGGGGATAGAAAGTAGGGGTGGATGAGTACAGGGGTATAGGGTGCAGTGGGGTGGGGTGGGTTAAAGGGCAGTAGGGTGGAGAGCTTATATATCTTCATGTATTTCTGTGCTGTGTAAAATGAAATAATTAAATGTCCACAAAAATACAAAAACAAAAAAAATAGAAGGATGTGAATTTATTGGCACGAATGGGTTTAGAAAGGCTTTTCTTCCTTTGGGGCAGGAGGGAAAAGAGTGTGGGGAAACAAAGGGGGCTCATGCCTGTGTGCTAGTGATGTGAACAGAC